TTGAGCAACAGAGGAGGAAAACGTTGACAAAATGTTCCGCTACGATCTCAGAAACTAGGGAGAAAAGGCTCAGAGATTGAAATGATTTTCTTCGAAAGAACCCCTCCTCGTCCGAGTCCCTCCTTCCCGCTCCTCCACCTCCACCACTGGAACCAAACGGAGAACATTTGCCTGTGCACGTCTGCACCATTGTGTCTTTTTTCCTCTCTGCTCTTCTTCAAGCTTCTACCTGAACGACTTGGCAAGTGCTGCACAAACGCATTCCATAGAGCGACTGCTCCGTAAACTCTCCTTTCCAGGGTTTACAGACCCATTAAACCCTGACATAATTGTCAAAGTTGACGTGTTGTGAAGGACGCGCAGCTTTAATCCATGTGTCATCAGTTCAGGCAGCGAATTCAAACCCAAGGCTATTTGGAGATGATGTTACAAAAGTAACAACGTTTAAAGAGCAGAGTCTGAAAATATGAAAAGTTAAAAAAAACTTTCTGCAAAGCAGGCAGGAATCTAACCACGACACATAACACACCTGACCCCAAGACCAGGGTAGCACCTCTGTTAGCCTAACTGGAGTAAGTTAGCACAGGCTAATAAAAAGACATTAAATTACTAAAAAGATAAAGAAAAAAAACTCACACACTACATTTCAGCCAAGGGGAAAGTTAAAAGTCAGCTCGGAATAACAGCCACAACGTGACAAAGAAATGGCTACAAAATATTAAGATGTGAAGAAGTTAATTATGATAGTTGTGAATATACAGCAACTCATCATGTCAATGGTCACAAAGATGTTCAGAATAATAAATCTGAGGTTTAAACAATTCGATAGTTTACCAACATGGATGGTTTACTGTTAGCAAAGTGGCTGAAAAGCTAGCAAAACCTAAAAAAAGGCATAAAATTACTAAAAAGAGAAGCAAACCTTTTTTTAAATTTAAGGCTAAATTAATTTATAAAAAAGTAAAATATGCTCAAAATGAAAAGTAGAGAGACGTTTGAGAAAGCGGCTGAAATTGCTAAAATGTTGGCATTTTTGACTATTTATAACATTTGAAAAAAAGGGTGAAATTTAGAATTCAATTGTAATTCCATGGGGAAGAGAGGAAAGGAGGGAAAGAAAGGGAGGGAGGGAGGAAAAGGGGACTCACACTCCTGCTCATCCTCTGGGGAAATACTGTACAAACGTCTTTACTTTTGGCTTTATTTCTGGTCGATACAGTGAAAAGCTGCTGAGTTTCATCAGCGGGGTGTCAAACCCCCAACCCTTCCCCCCCAGTGACTGCTTCAGGCTCCACTGCTGAGCGCTGCTGTTCCCAGGGTTAAAGAGACTAAACAGCGCCTGGGCAGCAGTGTCCACATCCTTCTGGTCCAAAGGCATTTTGTCCCATTTCTGGAGCGAGTAAATATTTTGGGAGCTGGTGCGGGCGCCAGCTGCCGCCCGGCCCCGCTGACTCTCACAGTAAATAAAGTCAAAGCAAAGCCGTACATATTTTTGGGCACATCAAGGTTCGGCCACCGACTAATGCCTTCAGCAGCGTCATCCTGACCTACATGCAGTAAATAGAGCTGTTCTCCGTGTCCGCAATTAATCAAAGTGAGACCAAACAAAGTGCCGCTGTCCCAGGTGTGGTTTGATAAGAGGAGGAGGCGCGGCTCTGATGAAAGGCAGCGTGCGAGCATCCTGACAGACTCTAACTCCCACCGAGGGTGGAGGGTCTTCTGGAGGGCTGGAAATAGTGGGAGGGCCCGTAACCTCCATTTGTGCGTTCAAGCTTCCAAGACTAATTGACGATGATGTGTTCATCAGAGGTTTGTCTCCAATTAACTGCCTGGATTAGCCAACCACAAAAATTAGCCGACGTTTAGAGCTGGAGGCAATTCAAAATAATCAGAAATACTCCTTTAAATACTCATACAACAGGCTGTTCATGCTCTCATCCTGCAGCCAATATTCTACTTTGGAAAAAAGAGAAGGTAAACAAAGTCTGTAATTGCCACAAAATGAAAAGACGCTAACAATCAGCTAACTACTAGCTTCATTTAAGGATATTTACGGGCTAACTTTTAGTAAATCTTTACAACATTTTTCTGGTGATTTTCTAATTCTTTACTTGTGCTGTAGTTGTTGTCGTCATTTTCAAATTTTTGATTTTTGTTTTTGGCCAAACTGTTTATGGTACTTTGGTTCAAAGCTGCAAGTGTTCTTTTGGTGAATTTAGCTACCTTATTGCTATTTCTAAGTAATTTTTAGCTATGGTTAATAATAAATTTATAATATTTAAACAAACATGCAAGACTGTAAGTCTATGACTATCTATTATTATTTATTGTTTTTGTATTTTGCGTTTACTGTAGCTTGATTCATGATTGACTGACTCAAATGTTAAGTCACTTTGGATAAAAGCTTCTGCTAGAGGTATTATAATGTGATGTAATTACATTATTATTATTATTTTTCAACTATTTTCCTAAACATTTTGTGAACTTTCAACCAACCTCGCACAACCTTTTAGTAATTACTATTTTGAAATAAAAAAAAACATAAGGGAGGAAGAGGTGAAAAAGTTGGTTTAACATCTTAATAATCAGGTAATTAACTCTCGACTCACAGAACTCCAGGAACGACAGAGACGACAGAGACGACAGAACCTCGAGGAGAACTAGAACCAGAATCAAACGCAGGACATAGAACAGGAAGATTCTGGAACAACAAGCAGCAATGACCTGACTGAGACAGAGTGGGGGGGTGGAGGAGGTGGGGGGGGTGCAGTGCCTGGGCACCAGGTGAGACGAGTGAGACTAACAAGCAGACAGAGCACAGGTGAGTCAGATGAAACTGATTAACCCTGGAGGAACAGACAGAACAGACAGAACAGACAGACCTAACTCTGGGTGTCATTTCAGCTGTTTTATAAAATATATTTAGATTTATTTTTTTTTCTTTTTTCATCTTGTGCTTTGCCAAATTGATTTTTTTTTTTTTAGTATGATAAAATATGATGTGTCCGTTAATTCTTGAATGATATACAAGTGTGGAGAGTTCCACTGTAAAATAAATAAACGTGTGACAGAGAGGGGAAAAGGCCTGAAATGTTGATCTGACCTGGCGCCCCAGCTGTTTTCATTCTCTATTTAGTGGAGTTTAATATTGAGGGACTCGGAGCTGTCAAAACACATCAGAGTGACAACACGCACACACGCACACACCGAGGCACCCGATGTGCTGCGACGTGCTCGGTCGCCCGCCGAGGCCCATTCTTATAAGCCGGGAGAGGAGACGGTGCTAATATCTGTCAGGGTGGATGGATGAGGAGATGGAGCAGAGGTCTCCATCTATTTAATGACATGGACTCTGTTTGTTTTCTCCTCCATTTTCAGCCTTTTTCACGGGCTGCATGCCATTATCATATCATTTCAGTCGTGTCTCTGCCAAACGGAGGCGGCTCCTGGAGGCTGCGGTGAAGCCTTGAAGCTAGCTCTGCTGACTGCTTAGAATCAGACTTCGTTTTTTTTTTTTTGGTTTAGCCTTCGCTGTGGTTTGGCTAACACCTGGCTTCTCTTTTACTCATCTTTTGGTTCAGATTTATTGCCTTTTTGGTGGTGGGTCTTCGCTATTGTATACGTTTTGTCAAACATTATTGCTTTATACAGATCTGCAAACGAAACGTTCGTAGCCGGTCCCCATGATTTTAAAACTCCAGCTAAAACCCTTTTTTTTTCACAAGGCAGCACAGTGAGGTGGCTCAACAAGTGGCACCAAACATTAACAATTCATTAATAATATTTAACTGCCTGGTTACATAGCTTATCCTAATTGAAATAAGACCACAACAACAGGGAGTCTAACGACCCTGGTCGGCGTTAGCTTGCATTTAGGAAGATCTTCAGAGACAGTTGTCGTAAACTTTATACTGCCTCCTGCTGTTTGGCTCAATGTCACAAAATAAAAATTCCCTGCTGTTTAGTCCAGGGACTTTTCTTTTTGTTTCTGTGTATTTGTACACCAGAGAACTCAGTGGGTACACGCTGTACACGCACCTTGGTTTGGTTCCATGACTGTCCTCTGTCTATTAATCATCAACCCTTAAGGCAAATATCAGCCCCTGAAGAACTGCCCCGGCTGCAGCAACAGTTCCAGCGGGGCTTTGATTTAAGGACACTGGTGTTAATCATCCACCAGTGGAAATAACTCGACTTCAAACGCCCCCGTCCAGTGGGGGAATAAATGAATGACTCAGAGAAGCTAAGTTAAAATGTAGGTTTAACTGTAAAAAGTTACAGTTTAACGATATTGTAGTTGAAATGGTCAAATATGGTGACTTAAAGTCAGCAAAAATATAGACCAATATCTAACAGTCAGCAATATATATATATAGATAGTCAACTGTACATGAAGGAGTGTTGATCTAACTATATATAACTACAGCTGAATGCGCTAATAAAACTAAATACTAACATACTTATTAGATGCTAATAAAAAAAAAAAATTTGAAAACATATTAAAGGCATATTAAACGTTACAGCAGAAATATTCGAAACCTGCTCAATGTAGCTAGATGAAAGAAAACAGCTATAATGGTAACATATCTTAACGTATCTTATTAAATATAAGTCTTGAATTTTCTTAAATTGGTTAAAAGTATTTAATTACTTTTAAGGGACAGGATGTTGCTGTGGCAAAAGAAAACCTGCCACGTGTCGCTGTCTCTGTCTTGTGATTGGCCGATAGTTAAGAGTGTTGATCGTGTGTGTGTTTGTGTGTGTGTACCTAATAGCTAATTGCTAAAATATAAACTAGATGCTAATTAAAAAAAACACCAACATTTGAAAACATATTAATGGCCAACTAAACGTTACTTGTCTTGTGTCTTGTGATTGGTCAATAGTTAAGCGTGTTGCCTGGTGTGTGTTTGTGTGTGTGTACCTAATGAAGTGTGTCCGTCGTGTGTCCATCACAGACTTTGACCTTTACTGAGAATCTTCAGCAGCCACGTCGTCACGTCCTCACGTCGTCACGTCGTCACGTCGTCACGTCTCTGTCTGTTCAACAGTGAAGAGAAGAAAAAAAAAATCAGGACGTATCGTACGGTTTCTCCCAGAAGTGCGTCGTTACATCAGATTTTGTTTATCATGTTTGTTTTTTTTATTTTGACTTTCTGCCACACAGTGTGACTCCGCGCCATCACAACAGTCACTCACACAGATGTCACATCAAGGCCCCGCCGAGTGAAATGTGTCGTCCATTTTCAACTTTGCCTGAGCTGGTGCCATGCCGTGCAACTGCTCATTAGAAGGCAAGTGTGGCAGAGTCTCCCCTACTTCCTCCCCCACCGCGTCTCCCCCTCTTTAAGCCAGACGGGTTTGACTTTGTCACCCAAACAGAGGGAGACACGGAGAGACAGACAGATGGCAGTGACGGAGGGAGAGGAAGAAAGAAACGAGGAGCTGGAGGGAGAGCAAAAAAAAAAAAGGAGGTGAGAGATACGGTGTGTCAGTTAGAGTGAGGGGTGAGGTCGGGGTGAGGAGGGAAACGTGCTGGCAGATATCATTAGTGCCGGGTTCAGGGCTCTGTAACGAGCCCAGCTCTCACCAGCTCCTCCATCCGCTGTGGCTCCTGCTGACTGGAGGCCCCCGGCTCCTGGAGACAACAGCAGGAGCTGCAGCCTGTGTCACATGACCGATGGGCGGAGTTTTACATCCTGAAAATGCATGAAATAAACAAGTGACAAGTTACTTCTGGTCTGCAACTCGTTTAAGAAGAAAATAACCATATTTTTTTCTTTAAATAAACATGTTTTGTTAAAAAAAATCTGTAAAGAAAAAATGATAAAACGGGACAAGGAAGGGTTAAAAATATTAATAAAATTATAAAAAAATTTTTTTTTTTCATTTTTCATGTGGCTCTGACACTTCATGTTACAGATGTTACAGAAGACAATGGTGGGGAAAAAAAATTTAATCAAGCTTTAACGTATACAGAGAGTTAATGAAATATCCCAGGAGCTTTTATTTTGAAAAGAAAATTTTCAAACCTACAGTGTGTGAGGTCACCGGGTCCATTCCTTCTCCTTCGACTTGTCGGTTCCTTTAACTGTAACACACCAACCATTACCAAGCACCTGACACACACACACACACACACACACAGACACAGGGAGTTAAAAGTTTACCATTTGAGTGGTCCCTTCTTCTGCCCCCTACAGTCTCAGGTGTATAATTGACTCTGTGGTAACCGACCTCTGGCTTCCTCCTTGATGTGGAACCGTGAACACAGGTGCAATGTAAGGCAGCGGTGAGAGTCCGAGGACAGCGGGGGTCCGTGCTGCTCCAGCATCCCCGCCGTGTTCCCGCGGTGTCCCCGCGGTGTCCCCGCGGTGTCCCCGCCGCCACCTGTGGGAGGGTGTGACTGCGTTTCCTCCGCAGGCAGA